AATGTTTCTTATATAGTGTGAAATAAATAATAAGATCCAAACACTTAAAGATAGAAAAAAGTAACTTACTTAGTTAAAAAGAGTAACAATACTATTGAAAGATAAAGAGGAGGAAATTGTATTTACTTGAATGGTTTTCTTGGTATAAATATCACATTGAAGGTCAATGAAATCAATTTATGTTTGATATTAAAATGTTTTCTGCAAAAATATAAGGTCACAGAGGAATCCAAGTTCGACTTCAAGTCTTCAGATTCAAATTCTAATTCATACTCATATTCATGTCTTGGAATTACTAGAAAAATTGAAATGATATATGTCAGTTGAGCTCAATATGCTGTACTAGTTTGCTTTATATTGCTGTAATAAAACCTTATGACCCAAAACAACTTGGGAAGGAAAGAGAAAAAAAAAAAAAAAAGTACCAGACTGGTGGAACTAACCTTCTTGGGTGTTTAACAGACATACTTTGAGGCCTATAATAATTTGGTCAGAGGGACATAAAGGACAGTTTTTGCTCCTTGCCCTCCTAGGTCAACTAGTTCCAGGGGACTATGAGCATCTCTCAAAATGTCCTGTAATTGTGGTGGGTCACCTGCCCTCTTGATCAAGGAGGCCAAGAAGACCCCACCAGATGGACTTGAACCAGTGTCCAGTCTACAAAGAGGAGGGTCAACACATAGAAATCACTTCCTCCATGCTTCCAAGTAAAGCCAACTATGGTCAAGTAGGACCTTTGACTTATCATCACATAGACGGAACTGGTAAAAGAAAGGAGCCAGGGGCTCCTCCCAAGCCCATGTGACCTCTGAGGAACAGATCCTCAAACAACCTTAAGAGTAAAAATAAATTGTTTTATCTGGGCCAAATGTAGGGTCTTAAACACCCCAAATGAAAGTATAACCAAAGATTAATGGGGTCAATATAATTTTTAAGAGTCCATATGTAGGAGCTGGAGAGATGACTCAGCGGTTAAGAGCACTGACTGCTCTTGCAGAGGACCTGGGTTCGATTCCCAGCACTCACATGGCAACTACGAACCGTCCTTAACTCCAGTTCCAGGGGAAATTGAAGCCCTCTTCTGACCTCTGCGGCCTTGCCCGACATGGGTGCACTCACGTACATGCAGGCAATATACTCATACACAAAAAATAAAATATTTTTTAAAAAAGAGTCCATATTTATAGCTAAAGGCTACATAACAAGAAACAATGTCAGACAGGAGATACCTTCCTTTGAGTTACTGGCCAAGGTGGCGC